ATGATGTACTTTAAACACAACTATTTTTGTATGTACTTTTTCTGTGCAATGATTTAAGACACATAATTCAGAAGCAAACTTCTTTAGCAGGCTAATCAACAGACAGCAGCAGTCATACCAGCATTCCACGCTCCTGGGGAAGTAGCTCTAGAAAAGGTAGAACCCAATGCTAGAGATTGGGGGGCAGTGGGGTGACTGGGTCTACCTTTTGCCTGAAACCTGAGGCGGCTGCTGAGGACAAAGGTGTGTTGTCTGGGAGCCACAGCTGAGGGACCAGCTGCCCACTTTTGCTTCTCACAAAGGGCAGGGAAAAGCAAATTGGTAAAAAGAAGGTGCACATGGAAAGAAATGCAAAGATAGGCACAGAGCGCATCAGAGACCAGATGGCACACGCCTCCCAACCAGCGTATTTCTGGGCGATAAACAGAAAGCAAACAAGTAGTTCCGAGTCCGAGGAGCAGGAAAGCTGGCCACCCCCACTTCCTCGGCTTCGCGCTCACAGCCGGAGAGACTGAGAGAGAACTGTTTCTCTGGCTGCAGAGGGGTGGTGGGTTCCACGTCAGATACAAAGGAAGGAGGTGGCCTGGAACCCAGCCCTCTGTCCCCAGCAGCAGCAGCGCCACGGAGCTGGAGGGAGGGCGGTCTGCTTTGTGGTGTTACTCCAGGGCAGCGAGACTCTGACACAGATTTTAGGATGGAATCATTCATTCAAGTCAAGAGTCCTCAGTGCAGCGAGAATCTCATTCAAAGCGACACATTGTGAGGGAGGGAGGGCGAGTGAAGTGTGCGCCCGCTCACACCAGCTCACACCAGGCTCCTTGGCCGCCTCCTGGCGAGAAACATGCATTCCTTCCGAGGTGGCCGGCGAGCAGGACTGCGCTGTCCTGGGGAGAGCGCCCCCCCCCGGCCCGTGGGGCTCCCCATGGCTGCTTGGGTCCCGTCACGTGCGAAATGCGGCGCAGCATCCCGCCTGCCCGTCACCAGGACCAAGCGCTACCGAAATGTTCTATTCCGAATGGTATTTTTTCGTGGAGAAAAACAAGTGGATAAATACTCAGATGCATCTTCATGGTCAAAAAGGCCATCCTTTCATTCATGGCACCTGCTCTCGGGTCCCGCAGTGACGTCAGGGTTAATGACCTCTTGCTCTGATGCTGAGCGGCCCTCGAACAGGATACAGGGTCTCATCTTCCTCTTTATTTTATCGCTTTTCTTCCCTCCCCAGGGGCGGAGAACCCGCTCTGCAGAGACACGGGGCGGGTGCTGGTCAGCGCGTTCCAGCTGCCTGTGTCGGGTCCTCCAGGGCTCAGCGCCCGGGACCCCACACCTCACAGTGTGAAGAGTGACCCTGTCATGTTCAAAAGTCCAACGGCTCATGTTCCCTGACAAGCTCACAACTGTGTTTCCAAACCGAAGGCTGCCACCTCGGGGCTCGACCAGAAAACTGAATGAAATTTTACAATATCACGAAGGTTTCTCCCTCGATTTCTGTGAATTTGCTGACTCAGTCTTTGTTCTTAAGCTTTCTATGCTGTTGGTTTAAATTTCAAAGCAGACAGATGTGTAAAATGGTGGAAGTCATGTGCAAGTGGGTGTTATTAATCTGACCTGAACTACCCCAGCGTCATTTCAAAATGACGCCGTGGAAACAGGCGAGAGGTGATCTGGGCAGCACATGGCAGGCCGAGGCCGCGGTCCGGAGGCCAGGAGGCTCGGTGTGTGGGCTGCAGGGGCAGATTTCCGCCCAGGGACGGCTCCGCTCAGGGCGCCGGCTGCGCCTGTCCTTCCCGCGAGGTGATTGGCACCTGGTGCTGACAGCTGCGGCCTGAGGGTCAGGTGTGCTTACCAGGGGGCTCCAGCGACCGGCTCACTCCGCACATTGATGGGCCACTTCCCATCACTGGTGTGAAGAGAGTGAAACTGCACTTTCTCGGGCAGTTTTATCTTGTGGAATAAGATTTCCAGTTGCACTAGGTGTGTGCTCCCCATTTTTCCTCCTCCTCCATTTCCCTGATGTCTCATCAACATCATATTCAGTTTCGTGTTTATGGTGTGGGACCAGGCCTCTTTATTATGTAAAGTTCTAATTTTTAGAACAGAACCGATGAAGCTTTTCTGATGTAGCTGTGGTTCCCTCAGGCAACGGGGACCAATGGCATGGAGCCCCCGCTCTGCCGTCCTGAGCTGCAGCCACGCAGGGCTGTCTCGTGAGCTGTTCTCTCGCCACCTCTCCCAAGATCACCTGGTGGCTGAGGCTGCACATGTAGCCATGTATAATCTCTCACCGGAATGTCAGTCCTGGTCAGACAGAAGTCTCTGTTTGGCATCTGTCCTATTTTGGAATGTGGCTCCTAGGACCCAGTCCACACATCAGCCATGTGTGGACTCCCTGGGAGGTTGGGTAATGTCCTCGCATTTTTAGATCACACACAGAAAGGGGATAAAAACAAGTAGCGAAGCCAAGAAACAAACACACTGCCTGTCAGGAGAAGAAGCTCACAGGCCATCTGATAGAGAAAGTTCTATTTGCTTAATTCAGTAAGTTGGTCTTTTTCCTTTATTAGTAGTTATTTTTGTAAGTTATTACTTAGTAATTTATTACATCCGATTCAGCAAGCTGCGCCCTCTGGGCGATGACAGAAGTTGTCCTCACAGACTCCTCTGCCTGATCGGGCACCGTGGCTCCCTACAGGGCACCGTGCCACCTGCTCTGACGCGGCCCTCAGACACTGCGCTCTGACAGGGTCCGGCGTGGACTCACTGCTTACGGCGATAAAGACCAATTGGCTATTTTAATTCTTCTCAGTCCTGTTAATATTATATAGAACAGCAGCATTTGGCTAATATTATAAACTAGGTAGTTGTTTATAACAAGTAATGAAAAATTATGAAACAGAAGAGAAGTATTTGTTGTGCTTGTGAGTGTTTTCATTTCAGCTTGGGAAACCCTAGGATGGCCTTTCCATGTGCGAGTGACGGGAGGAGGAAGTGTGTAACAGGTTGTGTGTCTGTTGACACTGAACTGGCGCACTACGTGGCTGACCCACGGAAACCCCCTCCTGGTGTGCCAGGTCACTGAGTCCCGCTCCCGCTGCCATTAGGATTGAGCTTCTTTTCCCCACACCCCGTGAGAGAGGAGTCAGCAACCACGGAGCGGCGTGCAGTGAACACCTGGGTCCGTGCTCGTGACTACGTTCTGCTCCACGTCCTCTTATCCCCGTCGTCTCGCGGCCTGGGGCCGTGAAGGTCCCAGGAAGAGAAGCGGTGCTCGCCTTGTCTTCCCACCTCCGCTCCGCTCGTGCTGAAGTGAAGACGAACCCACACTGGCCTGTGACGTCCCAGAATCCAGGCGTGGAGCCTCCCCCCTCGGGAGGCATCGTTGTTTTCTAGCCTCGTGCACTTAGTCTTAGGGTGAACGAGGATATCGTGACCAACGAGTAAAGAGGCAGAAGATCGCTTCTTCGGTTTCTTTCTCATTTTAAAGAAAAAAAAAATCAAATGTCCATGTAGGTTAATGGAATTCCTCAATGATTCACACACGTCCTCAAACGACATAGTTCCTCATTTCAGTCTCTAGCAAAATGTGTAATTCCCCATCATAGTTCTTCCTGGACAGTGAGGTCCTGAAAGGAGTAAACCTCCCACTGTCTAAACACTGAATGAGCTTGATGTGCAGACAGCCCTTCAAGCTGAGTGGACATGAACTTGGGAGCACCGGAAGCAGAGTGGCCTGCAGGGGGCGCTGGCCCACATACAGCGCCTCCCACACCTGCTCAATCCATCTGCATGTCCTGCGTTTGTGGGGAAGCCACGTCTCTGTTTGAACTGGTCTTGTTCCTCAGCCTGACGCAGGATGCATATAGGACTTAGGTTATTAGAAATAACCGTGCGCGGCCCTGCAGCACGCCACCACGCTCCCAGCCCCATCATAAAGGTGGACCCGAAAGGCATCCCATGCCTCATGCTACATGGAGGACACGTATGAAGTCAAGGCAGCCAAACTACCCATTTCCAAATAAGACGGTATTCCTACTCTCATTACACACCACCTGGCAATGGGTGTTACTAGCAAACGAAGGAGAAATTCTTACTAGTATAAAATTCCTGCTTTGTATAAAGCCACACTGGCCATTAAAGTATTTTGAAGTTTGTTTTCCCACCTCTTATTTTATATTTGTACTAAAACCATGAATTTAGACTTGGAAGTATATTAAAGGAAAACGAAGTCATTTCTACCTGCAAGGCATTTCCCGAGGGTAAGAGCCAATGTCCATCCACACACTGGACCCTCCTCCGCCCGCCTCTCCGCACCACAGCAGCTCTGCCTCCTGGGCTGAGAGAGAGAGAACTGACCCTCCCTGGGGAACCATCCTCACTTCCTTCCTTTTAGGCCAGTTTGCAGGTCAAAGGTCAAAGGGCAAAGACATAGACCAGGACTCTTCAAGAGAAATGTTTACATCAGACAATGTTTACGTTGTTGTGAACGACAGTCAACAGGTTAGCAATCAAGTCCAAGGCACGCTGTCCATTGTCACAAAGCTCACACCTGGAGGCTGGCTTTCCCGAGCCCAGCCTCCGGTCGAGTCCTGGGGCGTCCCTCTGACCTTGTCTAATGCAGCCCCGCCCGGGGCCACCACGCCCCCTGAGAAGTGGGCTCTGAGGATCAGCAAGAGGCCTGCCAGGGCCGACCTTCCTAGCAACAGCTGCTGACAGCACCTGCTCCGCAGCTCGCGGGAGTGGCGCCACTGTGGCTAGGACACATGGCACTCAACAGTGAGAGGCTTTGGGGGTCCTGGCTTTGTTGGTGAACACCGCTGGCAGGACATCCTCATCCCCAAGTCGGCACAGCAACGCCCTCCCGGTGCCCCACGCCCTGCGTGTCCCCTGCAAACCCCAGGCAGCGGATTTTAAAACAGAAACTCCCCATGTCTGACCAAAGGGAGAAAAGACTTGGGCTGTTAGCATCAGCTGTTCAAATAAAGCTTCACTCTTACAAGATACATAATAAAATACCTTTTTATTTGCCAGGAAACCTTTTGGCCAGTCACATGGTCTGCGTCTGCCATGAATGCATGTCCGTGGTACTGTAAGTCACTTAAAAATTACATGGGGTTTGGAACATCTGCTTTGAACAGCTGACCTTCCAGAACCTGCTGCCACCAGAGCCTCGTTGTTCAGATTCATCAATGAGCAAGAAAGCAGCCCGCGAGGGGAGCTGACCTGGCGGTTCTCAAAGGCTCGCGCTCCACGCGGACCCGGCCTAATGCACAGCTGCCCCTTCCACCGCCTTAGGGACAAACTGCTTCTCACTTGCTAGAATGATCTTCCTGACAGGCCCAGGGGAGGCCTGGGGCAATGGCCTAAAACAGCTTGGGGGGTCCCACAAGGACGAAGGCGAGGTGGCAGGGAGGGTCTGGGACACTCCCCACAATCCAAACCCTGTCTGAGTGGAGCTCTGAGCACAAGGGGACGGGCGAGGGCCTGCGAGATGGGGTGGGAGGGTAGGGGTGTCGTTAAGGCTGTTACTATATTGCGGAGATTCTGGCCTCTCGGCTGGAAATGGCCGTCCGGCCCTCTTGGCCGCTGCCCAGACAGGCTGGTGCGGGCACCCAGGGTCGGAGCGCTCTTCTTTGGAGACAAAGCTGGTCTGGGTCTCATGCTCTCCTGGAAGTTCAGTTCAACCTCTTACAAATTTCTTGGTTGCAAAGCAAAAATGCGTGGGTTTTCCGGTTTGCTTTTCTCCCCCCAGGAACGGGCTCAGACTTCAGAAGGGCATCCTGTTCGCACGTGTAGGAAGAATCTCCCCCGGTTTCCATCCGGAAGATGTGCCGGTGCCGAGCGTGCAGAGGAAAGGCCTAGAAGGAAGGACAAAGAAAGACAAAGACGCGGGCGCAGGGACCTGCGTCAGGGGACCGTCCCCGAGACCAAATTCCACCCGCGCAGGACCAGCAGCCTGTGGTGCAAGGTCAGCCCCGGCCAGGCCGCACCGCCCGCTCTGAGCGAGGAGCCAGCATCACAGCCCGTGTCTGGAATCTGCAGTGACCGCGCAGGGACGCGGTGGCTGTCACACCCACTCCTGCATGGAGCGCTTGCAGTACAGTATGTGGCGCGGCGTCCCTTTGCGCTTGAACTGGAGCACGGTGTAGGCCAGCGCCAGCAGGCACAGCGCCAAGATGCAGGGGATGACGATGGCCACGGCCCGCACCGTGCCCGCCGTGTTGTGCATCTTGATGACAATGTCCACGTCGTCGGGCGGGCTGTGTCCCTCTGTGTGTCTGTCTGTGGGTCCGTCACAGCCCATAAAGTCCTTCAGGATGGATCTGGGGTATCCGGGCTCCACCTTGAGTATCTGGTTGTTGAATTTCCAATACTCCTTTCCTTTGTAGAAATATGTGAAGCCTGGTGGGAGGAAACAGCACACAGAGGAAACACTTATTTGTGAAAGTGGATGAGTGTAGACGATCAAACAGACTACGTAAGCCCTGGCCGGGTGGCTCCATTGTTAGAGCGTCGTCCCCATATGCCAAGGTTATGGGTTTGATCCCCAGTCAGGGCACATACAAGAATCAACCACTGAATGCATAAATGGCACAACCAGGACTGTGCGCTCGGTGCGGGAGGCCCAGCCCGGGAGCAGGGCTCGCTGCCAAGGGTGTAGAGAGACAGGCCAAGCACCTCTACCCCGTCCACACGTCTGCCCTGGAGGGAGACTCCATCCAGGGCTGGCTCACAGGACCGAAGGCATAGGACACACCTGTGTGACCATACCTGTCTGCACGGAAGAGGCTGCCACGCCTGCTAGAACGCAGCTCTGTCTGCCGCAGGTTGTGGCTCCTCCAGGAAACCCCTCAGGGGCTTCTCACCATCTGAGCCTCCCAGACAATAGGCTGCCTTTCCTCATCTGAACCAGAAATATGAACAAATCATCCATCTCCCGGCTGAGGGGTTTCTTTTGTCGGCCAGGGATTCTAATAAGCAAACAGGCATCGCTGGTGCTTTGTGCACGGACTTCATTCTTGGCTCTAGGTCCCTCACTGAGTCTCCTGTTTTTGCCCTCACTTTCTTATCCACTTAGCCTGTTAAATTCATGTCACTTAACTGTATATTACAGAACTTCAAAGCCATTATTAATCCTTTTAGATCTACAATTCTATCTTTAATAACTAACATATATTTCACGGGGAGAAGGGGTCTGAGGAGGCCCCGGGGTCTGGCAGTGCATGTGACCTATGTTCCAGACCATGAGGATGCAAAGCTCGCCTTTCCCAGCTGATGACAATTTGACTGCAGATATGTGTGTCTTCTGGAGGACTGGCTCTACACTTTTGTTGGCTTCGTTGGCACACCTCCAGTTTTTCTTCCTGTCCATAATACCTTCAAATCAAGTTTCTTTGTGACCATCCTTTTTGGATTTAATTCGTGGTTTTATTTTTAAGAATAGTTTATTGATTTGTTTTAAAGAGAGAGGAAGGAAGAACAGAGAGACATCAATATGAGAGAATAACATCCATCAGCTGCCTCCTGCTCCGTCCCCTACTGGGGATGAGCCTGAAACCTGGGCATAAGCCCGGATGGGGAATCCAACCAGCAACTTCTCCGTGTTGGGATGACGCCCAACCAACTGAGCCACACCGGCCAGGGCTGCATTCATTCTTGCTTTGAGATAAAATTCAAGAGACCAAAAGAAATGCTTTACTGTCATAATTACTTAAAAACGATACTTGGGGAGCTATGTGTTTTGAATAGTATGCCTACTTTAGACTGAATGCTCATTAATGGGTTTTCTTTTTCCTTTGTTATTGAGCACTTACTATGGAAGAAGAAGTCCTGTGCTAAAAAAAAAAAAAACCTTAGAAAATGGCACTTTTACCCCTTATAACTACTCGGTCAAGTAGAACTAATTACCTGTACTTTCCAGGCAAAGATATTGAGGCTCAGAGATAGTTCAGCCTCATATGCCCTGAACACGAAAGCTTTTTCTAAGACTGGGGCCCTTTGCAGAGCGCCTGCCTCTGAACAAATACTCCTCGGCTACACAGCACAGGCTGTGACAGACAGCAGCCTGACACAGACAAACAGACCGAACAACTCTGACATCTCTCAAAAATGCAGGCCCGGCGGGCCGCTGCTCCCAGGCCCTCCACTGGGGAAGCCGCTCTGTCAATGCCGATGCCAATGCCAGAGAGCATGCCATTGCTCTTCGTGGTGACGGGGAGTTTCTCAACCAGGACCACTTGCCAAGTGAAAGCAGGCTGTGTCGATTCAAATCTGTCTGCAGGAGCTGCTCTTTGATGACGCTCATGACCCCAGTGCAACCACTCAGCAAGCGTGGATGCAGCAACGGGGCGGGCCTGCTGAGTACTGGACACAGGACGATGGTGGTTGAACGACGGCCTTGAACTAGAATTCCATGGACCCTCCACACAGGCTTCTGATAAACTGGAAGCCAACAGCTTCCGGTTTCACTTCAACCTAATTACTAGGAGCTACTGGGTATCCTATGGAAATTCAGAAGTTTCCATTTTCATGTTGATCCGATCTGCAGGCCAATTTCACATAACACACTCCAAACACAGAAGTCGAATTGTAGTTTACTGAATACATGTGTTAGAGATAAGAAGTCCAGTCGGTAGCAATTAGACAGGGAAAAAATGTACTTGAGAAGCAGCCAAAGTCTTCATAATAGAAATTTGTTATACCTCAAAACTCATCTCAGTCAATAATTCAGGACTTTTTCCATTTATGCAATGTCAGTTGGTTGAGAAAATGTTTATGTATTCATTTTTCCTTTTTAGGGTGGATTTGATGTAATCTGCTTACTTACTAAGAGTAGCTACTTCAGAAGAATTTTAACCTAAATTATCATGTTTTAGGAAATTCACGTCAGAAGTGGGCTGCAATTGGCAACATGAAATGCAGCACTGTTAAAAGTAGCATCTTGTATTAACCTTGACATTGCATTTTCGAGAGCCTTGGCCAGTGTGGTGCAGTGCGCTGGGGCTCCACTCCCTGTCAGGGAACACAGCCAGGCAGCGGGTTCCACCTCCGGCCAGGCCTTGTACAGAGGCAGCCATCGGTGCTTCTCTCACATTGAAGTTTCTCTCTCTCTCCCTTCCATTCTCTCTAAAATCAATAAAAACATGTTATCAGGCAAGGAATAAAAAAAAACAACTGCATTGTCTAAGGAGAGAACGTGGAATAGCTAGGAAGTGGGGCTTTACAGCAGTTAACGAGGGAATGATTTGAAGGGGGTGAATACAGAGTCTTTACTACACATTTATATAAGCTAAGTCTCACGGGATGGGAAGTGGCCTAGCCAATCATCAACGCTGCTGCAGTAGCTATGCATGGTGCCAGGTGGGTAGAGACTTACCCAGGGGTCACTTCATAAGCTATACCACTGAGTCAACTGTAATTACAAAAATAAAAAGTGGAGGAAAAACCCGGGCTGTTGCTTAAACCCTGTGGAACGGTGCGTGCCGAGTCTTCCCACGCCCTCTGCGTGAGTCAAATGCCACTTGGATTTTTGCAGTTATTTCTGGGGCTGAGAGCGAAGAGGAAAATAAGAAAACGGTTACATTAAGATGGCTATAGGTGAAACAGACGGGGACGGCTCAGGAGGCACGTTCCTGACGGCCTGGCCTGTCCGAGCCCCACACCCGGGCGCATGGGAGGCTGTGATGTCCGGAAAGAGGGTTAACTTTTCCTCTTCCCTGGAGACCGTGATCGAGCACCTTCCTGAGGCTGGATGTTCCGGGTTAGTCTCACCGCTTCTATTCTCGTGACAAGTCACTTCAACCAGCTGAGGTGCTCTCCTCACTATCTGTGCCACAAATGAGGGAAAGAGGTATTTGTGTTGGACAGCTGATGAGAACATGAATCCATACAGCACAATCGATGTCTGGGAGGCAGGCACCCAGCAAGTGGCATCAAGCGGTCCTAGTTCATTGGTCAAGGTGGCAGAATTAATACCAGGATGTATTACAGGAGGGCATAGTCCACTTTAATGCAAAAAACAGCCTTCAAAAATATACAGCTGAATTTTAAGGACTTTAAACATAATTATCATTAGGAGGGAATTCCAAGGGAGAAAGACCTGCGTGGGAGGGAGGGGGAAAGACAGAAGTTCGGAACGGAATCATCTCTGATTTTACGGCTAACAAATGCCACCTGCATGGGCTTACTCACAGGGAGGTACTGTGGGTCTCAGGGTAAATGCAAACATGTTGACTGCATAATCTGAGCTGCCTCTTTCATACAAACATAATGGAAGCAACAGAAGAGTCTGAGTTTAAGGTAAGAAGCCACGGCATGAGACTTGAGTCGAGAATGAAAACGGGGAGGTGGCTGTGGGGCGATGAGACTGGGAGCTCCCCGATTCGGGATACTGTGCTTACAGAACCAGGTTCAGACCACTCTCCCCACTCCCGGAGCGCAGCTCTGAGTGGCGGCAGCGAGGACACTGATTTCAGCAGCTCACATCTGGAACGGGCACTGGGGGACCGCCTGGCAGAAGTGATGGGCGTGGACATTGACGGTCGTAACCTCAGATTGTGAATGCAAAGATCAGGCATCAAAAGAGGGCATTCAAGGAGGGTTTCCCCAAAGATGAAAGGCGAGCTGTTGAGAGATGCCACGGGGCGGACCAGGGACGGTCCAGGAGACACAGATGTGCTGAGCTTGCATCTGCAGTTTTTGCTCATTTGTAAGCAGTGATTTCCCCAACATGCTTTGTGTCTCTGTCAGTATTTTACAAAGTTATTCTTTGCTGAGTGAAAAGAAAACATTCATTTCTGAATATAAGGAAACAGTTTTCTCCTTATGAAGTTTAGCGTTAGGTGGCAGGTGATTTTGTTCTTGCAGGTGATGTACATTTTTCCTGGTATTTTGGACCCACAGGGAATCATTTTCTTCTGTTTCCTGTGATAAGTCATTTGATGGGTGTTTCTTTGTTATTTTGGAATGCTATTTTCTTCCCTTCCCTTGTTCTGGGATACTGTGCTTAGACTTTATTTTGAATTATTATTACTGCAGTTTAGTCTTGTTTAGTATCCCTGGTGAGGGAGAAGTGTTCAGCAGGCCATGCACCATCAGGGAGCGTGGACTGTCCACCGCCTGGCTGACTTCCCTCAGGATCTGGCTGAATCTCAAACCCTGAGAGGGCGCCCGGGCCCGGGGGCCACGCTGGCCCGCTGCTCATTAGTGATCAGTCAGGCCTGGCGTTCTGAGCGGATCCTCCTGTCTGCTGAGGATCTCCGCTAACGACACGCGTAAAAATAACACCTTCAACGTGCCCTGGGCCTCAGCCACTTACACCGTATTGTCTCCGTGACCAGCTCCTGCCCAAGGGTGTGTGATTATCTGCACATGGATTTTAATAGAAAAATCAGTGACGCTACTTCAAAGGTATCCACACCCCCCTTTTAAAAAGTTATGTATGTTCCCTTTTCTTGTACAAACTAAAATAAATTAAGGTTAAAAAGACATCTGGAGCAGAACGTGAAACGTAACTCGAGGAAGGGATGGCCGTACACATGGTGACGCGATGCAGCCTGCAGGGCACTGCCCAGTGACCACAACAGCGATGGCTAGAACGCACCCGCCCGGCGGGGCGCGTGGCCATGCCTACCGTTCTCCTTGTGCACGAAGGCTCCCTGCGGAGAGTCGGGGATGCCCTTCCAGACGGTGATGGGCTTGGGGTAGCCGGGGTCCATGGTTTTCATTTCCTCACTGTACCTCCAATACCTACAGATGACGGAGAAACAACACACGCGTCAGGAGAAGGTGATGTGCGCAGCGGCAGCGGACACCACCCCTCGCTGCCTGCCGCCCGGACCTGCAATGATCTCAGAGCTGACTGGGCCTCTGGGAAGACAGCGGGACCAAAGCACGGATTCTGCTTCCTCCCCTGTGTCTGTGCACACTGGGTATGTTATTGTGCACATAGTCAGTCTGCTAAAGTTAATAAAAAATACATTTACAATCCAAAAGGGTAGCAGCAACCTATGTATTTTTTAAAATCTTCCTTAGGCAGCAGAACACTTTTTTGGGAAATAATCTCAAGCAGAATCTTGCTCCATTTATTCCTTCTGCAACAGCTGAGCACGTGCTACATGCCTGGCAGTATAGTAGGTGCTGGAGACACGCGTGGAGGGAGAGACAGCTGTTCGCCCCGCCTTACGTGTGAGGGGCGGGAGGGGCCAGTGTGATGCCGGCAGGTGCAAAGAGCTAGTAAGAAGCTACAGCAGACGGTGCTATCCAGGAACACGGTCAGCCTCTCCAGTGCTGGGACAGACCCCTATGTTCTCAGCCTCGTAAGCTGATGTCTGGGATGTTCTAAGGATCAGCAGTAAACTCGCCTATTTCAGGGCAGACAGAACGTTCTAGGCATGACGTGATGTGATCACAGCACACCCCTCAGGGGGATCCACTGCTCCTGTTCGAGAGGAGGGTGCTGGGAGGAGGATGACCAGCAGGCAGGTTACAGCCAGTCCTGTCTGGTTGTAAAGTCCTCCCTTTCCTCTACATGCAACGAATGTTCCCAAAATTCACCTGACAACCATTTCTAAATGCCGCTGATCATCGGCTAAAGCTAGTGTTTGACCAACAGGTTTGAAAAATCACACACTTTGTGCATGAACTTGGAACTAGCAGCTTTGGCTAAAACCATGAAAAAATTATTTTCTGGTCTTTTCTGGATACTTCCTGGGCCAGGATGGGGGGCGGGTCCTTTGTCCATGGCTGGGCTCCGGGGGAGGTTCTGCTGTAGATCCCTACCAGCCTCCCGCAGGCGAGGGGCACACGGCCCTGCACACGGCAGAGGGAAGGTGGCTCCAGGAGGGGCCCCAGGACAGCCGCAGGCCACGTGTTCCGCAGGAGCAGGTGTGTCCCAGGTTCTCATCACAAGAAAAAATGGGTGTGCTTTTCCGTTTGATGCTAGTGTAATCCCACAATCACAGAAACAAACCTATATTTTGACTTCTTTCTTTGAAAACATCTGAGTTTCTCCAAGGTTAAGCCTAGCGTGAAGTATGGCATAGAGCCTGGGACACAGTGGTGAGGAGATGCTGAGAGGTGAGCTGGGACACTGCATCCGAGAGCTGAACGCCATGAGGATCAGTGTGGGTCCGAGGGTCCAACTGTAGCTCAAAACGGACCGGGCAAGAGGGACCGGTGGACGAGGCCCCGCTGCGCGTGGGACAGAGGAGTGACAGGCCTCCCTCTGAACTTGCGGAGCTGCTTAAAGAGCCTCCCTTTCAGTTCCTCCCTCTCTGTGGTTAGGAGCTGTCACGAGATCCCTGCGTGCAACACGATTACATGTCCAGCATCTCGAGCCTGTACCTCCGCCCAGGTTTTACGCAGAAAGATGCCAATGGGAGGTAGAAATAAGTAAAGACAAATACATTCTGAATTTCTCAATATTTTCCCTCAAAAATACATATAAAATATGTAAAATGTTAAAACAGATAAGTATTGTAAATATACACCATAAGGAAGAAAGCTTTTGCTAAAAAGAACTTTTGAACCAAGGGAAGTAAAATGATAAGAAAACGCCAGGGGAGGGGAGGCCAGGTAGCTTGGCCTCCACAGCTTCCAGCCTGTTAGGCTACAGGGAAGAGAAACAAATACACGCCACATGTTTAAACTCATAAATGAGCCTCCTATTTGGTAGAGGAAGATTTATGTTGTTTGTTACTTTAAAATATGTTAAAAACATCTCGATTCCAGATTTCCACAGCTGATCTCCTCACAACCAGCTCTTTCACCCACAGGACATGCCTGCGGGAGGCGAGAGACCAGCCTCTCTAACCACTGAACGGCCTTCCCCGGCGACTGCGTACTGACCTGTTCCCCTTGAAGAAATAGGTTTTCCCAACGTCCTCCCACCAGATGGCGGAGTCGATGCCGTGAGGGGGGATCCCGCTCCCGAGAGAGACCAGGTCGTGCGGGTAGCCCGGCTGCAGCGTCGTGTCCTTGAACACCCAGTACTTGTTACCTGTGGGAAGTAAGTGCAAGTGCACAACACGCTGATTCAGTGTCAGAAATGGGAATGCGCCCGAGGACAGTGCATTCCAAACGGTGCCCACGACACCCACAGGTGGCTTCGCGGCGCTCACATGTGGAACCCGCACATTATTTCTGAACACCCATGTTATTTTTGAAAGTGGATATGGTGAGTAACTATTTAAGAACCCAGTCAGCATGTTGGACTCAGTTAAGAAACAAAGACAGACCTACAACTGGCCCCATGCAACCGTCTTGAACCAAGGATCATGGATGCTCTGTCTAGAGCCGTGGTCGGCAAACTTCGGCTCTCGAGCCACATGCGGCTCTTTGGCCCCTTGAGTGTGGCTCTTCCTAAGCCTTAGGAGTACCCTAATTAAGTTAATAACAATGTACCTACCTATATAGTTTAAGTTTTAAAATTTTGGCTCTCAAAAAAAATTTCAATCGTTGTACTGTTGATATTCGGCTCTGTTGACTAATGAGTTTGCCAACCACTGGTCTAGGGACCCAAGGCCCTGCTCGGTCCAAGGCTGCGTTGTCTGCATCCTGCCGCCCTCGGACGCTGAGCCCATTAAAGCTCTTCTCTGAGAAAACACTTCCTTGAGACCAACCCCTTCCCTTCATGATCAGCACCTGTAACCCCGCAGTCTTACAACCTCATCCACGTGTCTAGCTGTCCCCATGCCTCCGTGTGAGGGGCTACTGAGGGGAGGAGAACATAACTGACCTTTGTTTGGAATCACAGAGCGGGCAAAGTGCTAGAGAGAAGGAAACTGCAGTCCGTTCACTGCTGCTTTGGAATGATCTACAGACAACAGTCTGCAGGCCCTGCCCCCGGAGGCTGCCCACTCTCCCGCCGCGGCTCCGCTCCCGGGACCCACCGTTGCCTTCCCTGCACTCAGCTAACACCTGCTGCCTGATCGCCAGCGCCTCCCAGGGAAGCCGTTCTCCACCCTCATCGAGTTTTTGTATTGAGGTATACTTGACATGGAACTTTACATTAGTGTCAGGGGTACAATGTAATGATTGCACATTTGTATAAACTGGGAAATGACCCCACAATAAGCCTAGTTACATTACAACTTTCTTTTTCTTGTGCTGAACACTCTTAACATCTGCTGTCGGAGCACCTTCCACGTGTGCAGCAGTGTCAGTGACTGCAGTCTCGTGCTGCCCCACCCGGGACGCACTGGCTTGTCATGGAAGTTTGGACTCCTTGACCCTCTTCACCCAGTGGCCAACTCACAAGCCTCCTCCACCCGGGCAGCCACCAGCCTGCACTCTGCATCTATTACTTTCGTTTGTTTTGTATTGTAGACTGCACACATACGTGGAATAACACAGTGTTTGTTTTCCTCTCTCTGACTTATTTCACGTAGCATAACGCCCTCTAGGACATCAGTGTTGATGCAAATGGTAAGATTTCATTCGTTTTTAGGGTTGAGTACTGTTTATTTATCCATTTACCAATCAATGGACACTTAGTTTGCCTGTATGTATACCTTGGCTATCTATAATAATAAAAGTGTAATATGCTAATTAGACCTGATGTCCTTCCGGATGTCCTTCCTTCTGGACAAAGCCACAATGGGCGGGGGCTGTGGCAGAGCCCTTGCATGAATTTCGTGCATCGGGCCTCTAGTTGTAAATAACACTGCAGTGAACACTGGGGGTGCGTAGGTCTTTTCACATTAGTGTTTCACAGTCTTCAGATAAATACCCAGCAGTGAACAGCAGGGTGTAAGGCAGTTCCGTTTTAATTTTCTGAGAAACCTCCGCATGTTTCCCATCACGGCTGCACCGTCTGCATCCCCACCCGGAGCACGAGGTCCCCTGGGGCGTGAGCATGAGAAATGCTGACAGAAGCTCCATCGGCCTGCTGTCCAGGCATCGCAGGAGAGGCCAGTGTGTGAGAAAGAAGGTGACAGTTCCGCCAGGAAATTCTTATTATTGTATAAGCCCCTTTTTTAAAAAATGTGTTTTGGAAATACTTCCTTAGACTGTGGGTGTTTTCCATCTGGACAGGGAGAAACAATCAGACTTCCACTACAGAAGACATCCATTCCCTTTTTTTCCTGCTAGAAGCAAACCTGGGGGATTTTTTAAAAAAATATACTTATATTCTCTTTTAAAAACAGAGCAAGACAGGAAATCACCAGCAAGCATTTGTCAGGTGGCAAGATGAGATCCCAGCAGTTAATTGTGCACAAAATTAGGAAAATCAACACCTTGCCTGCATATTTGTGGCACAGAACTCAAGAAATAACTCAAAGATGATTACGAGTATAAATTTAACTCTCCAGGCTTTACTAAGGACACACAGGGAGACAGTTCCTTCCGCATCTTGATGAGGAAAGATTTTCACATCACAAATTGGAAGTGACTTCATTTCTGTTATTTAGATGCTGAGTATATGAGATTCATAGTCAACTATTTTCCTTTTTTAAACACAGGAGGTGGATGTGTACCACCTTGCCACTCAACAGTCTGGTTCTCTAGGAAAACATCGCCTCCTTGGCAGGCAGAGGCGTTTACTGAATTCATAGGCGCTGCCATCGCCAGGAGCAAGAGGAACAAGCTGCTCCTGGTGACACTGCTCTGGGCAGAAAGTAGAGGAAGATGCCAGGTCTGATTAAAGACAGAGAAGTTACAAATAATACAAACAGTCTTGCTTATCGTTTGGGGCTGGAGAGGACATTACAGATTATATACTCCAGTAATTCTTTAGTGAGATCCATCCACCCACCCACCCATCCATCCACCCACCATCTATCCACCCACCCACTCATCCACCATCCATCCACCCACCCACTCATCTATCCACCATCCATCCATCCATCCATTCATCCATCATCCATCCATCCATCAATCCATCCATCATCCATCCACCCACCCATCCATCCATCCACCATCCATTCATCATTCATCCATCCACCCA